CTTTCGTCATGGATAAGAGCTTCAACAGTTAATATATGATTGAAAGAGAACGTAGAAAAAAACAGAAGGGAGATCCCAAGGAGAGTGATTAATGACATCGAAAGCAGAAACTTTTAAAATCAAGCCTACATCCAAATTTTACATTAAACATAGATAGGAAACGAGTTTTACAATCAAACTCAGACAACGAGAAGGAAGAAATAGAACCAGGTAATCATCAACAGAAAGACTAGTAAAGTCCAAATTCTCAACCACACAAAGCAATGCACAAATTCATATAATCACGAAATTCATATAACGAATTCCAAATCCTCATAATACCACAACTCAAACCTAGCTCCATTTCGCATCCACCTGTAACATTTCCCCCTCGAAATGGCAGCATCCGCAGCATACTCTTCATTCACATCCAAAAATCCAAAATGGACAAAAAACTCACAACATATTTTCACTTTGCAGGAAATCCAGCAGTAGTTAACAAATGAAATCAATCACAAAGAAAATTTAAATCAGATTGTACGCAAAGACAGTGCAGTACAGATAACAAAAATCTGAATCATTTTCCTGCGAATGACGAGCGTGATCAGTTGTGTGCGAGAGAGAGGAGATAACCTGAGAACATTTACAAGGAAGAGAGTGGAAGAAGGTGCAGTAAAGACGCTGGATTAGATCGCAACAAGAAGAGATAAGATCCTCCAATGGCTGGATCGTTGAGTTGAAGGTGAAACTGTAAGACTGGAAAAGCGCTTATGCGTAAATTAGCAGCGAAAAAACGATTGGTGTGGCGTATGTTAGAACAACGTCTTATCCCGTTCCCTTTGGCGGAATATTCTTAAAAAGTCTCCATGTTACTTTCATCATCCAACCTATCTATTTTTCTACTTATTTATAAATTATTATATTATAGTTTTTATTTTTATAAAAACTAATTATATTTACATATTTTTTTGAATTTATTAATCGAGCGAAAAAATATTATTTCTTGTCTATTTTGTTAGGTTTATAAGATCTTTTGGGAATCTCAAAAGTAAAAAATTTATGTTCAAAGGAGATAATATCATACCATTGTGGAAAATCGTGTTCATCTAATATGACATCAAAGTTATGCCCTAAACTTAGTCGTGCTAATAGATTGGTAAATTCTCAAATGTCGAACAAAGACTCCAACAGAAAAGGAGTAGTCTCCTCGAAGGAAGTAAAAAATGACTAAGACTCCAAAGGAGTTGAGACTCAATTAAGGGAAGACGTACTTTGTTCGAGGGGAGGTGTTGGATGATGAAAATCTCATATAATAATAATAATAATAAAGAAATATAATAAAATATGTTGAATTAATATTACAATTAACCTATGGTCCAATTGTGGAGAGTATCGTGTTCAATCAAGTAATACAGCCCATGCAGAAATGGGTCCAGCAACAAAGCCTGGTCAGAAAACCACCAGATTTAATCCACGTGTAAACCTTATATGCTGATGTCAGCCCATGCGTCACGTGACCAATTTTTGTGCATTAAAAAACAGAAGCAGTCCACGTCACCATCGGGAGTCGTACAATAAATTATTAATGACAAAATTTTCCTTTATTAAACTGAAAATTTTATTAGTAAATTATTATGCTGGTATATATATATATATATATATATATATATTATTCAAATTTGGTATCTAGGTTAAAAGAAAAATCAGATATTAAACATTTTTCAATACGCATAATTGTTAATTAATATGTTACTGATTGAGGTATTCACACATTACCTAATTTATAATATTAATTTGATTTTTTTTTTTTTTTATCGAAGTTAATTTAGGTCAAATTAGTTTGCTATAAAAAATGATGTGTTTACTTTAAAGCCACGTGGCGGGCACGTTATGGAGTAGCCGTGCTCTTACCAATCTTGTCATTGCCATTGGTACAACAAACGAAGTTGCATTGCAATTGCAAGGAATCTGTGTACTAAAATATTTAAAAGAAAATAATTGTTTACCATTTTCCATATAAATTGTGGTTTTATTATTATTATTATATATATTTTTTAAATAGGCATAGGCAATTTTTGTAGTAATTGGAGAAAAGATGTTTCATTTAATTTAATTTGTAAAAACCGAAGATTTAAAAAATAATTTAGAAATTTAGCGGGAACAGAAATGAAATAGGAGGTAGAGATAGGGAAGGAAAAGGCTTCCCATCCTCTCACCACCTCGTGAACATCCTTAGACTCGAGCACTTCATAAAAAATTGATTAAAAAAAAAAAAAAGATATTTAAGTTTTGATTTCTCCGCATATAATTTTATAGATATTAAGACTATAATTGTAGATTTTATTTTATTAAAATAATCAAACTAGATGGTCTTTTTTTTTTTAATTATATAATTGAAAGTAACATATTGATTACGCCTTTTATTTATTTGATATTGACCACATTCTCAATTAATTAAAGTATTACTTTAAAATGATTATTTGCAAGACTGCGCTAATATGTTTATTTTATTTGAATAAATTTTAAAATATATATATATTTCGCGAAAGAGAAAAGGGAAGTCCAACTCCTTGGCTTTCTATTGTAGTTCGTTTGTTTTGTTTGTATGCAGAGAAGAGAGGGAGCGCGAGATCGTTCTCTCTCGAAGAATCCGCGCCCAGAATTGGAACTCGCTCCGTTTTTCGTTCACTGTGAATCGATTCATTCGCGTTCTTGAAGGAGCAGTGCCATGGATGATTCTCCGAAGAAGGACGATAGTCCGCGAGTTCTTAGAGTTCTCGAAGCGCTCAAACAAGCTTCTCATGAGTTGCAAGCACATCCAAGTCCTTGCTCCGAGAAGTTCAATTCTCCCGCCATTAAAGCTCTGCTCGAGCTCGAGGTTGAATCCGATAAAATCCTTTCCAGTGATCCGAATCTCTCGACTCTCGCTCAGCACCTTGGGAACTTAAAAGCCTTGGTGGAGACGCTTCAGAAGTGCAGAGGTTACGGCCTTAGGTCGTTCTTAACCCGCCGTTTCGCGACGAATTCGGTATCTCAAGTCGCCGGTTCAATCGAGGCGGAGATTCAAGCTTGGATTGACCGCGAGAGCTTGGAGAGTCTGGTTCGAGGTCTTAAAGAGCCTTCAGACGATGAGAACGAATTGATTAAACTACTGGTTCAGTTCGAGAATCGACTCGCTCAAGGATTCAACCGCGAGCTACAGGATCTCATGCTCAAATCTAAGGTGTTTTCATTGCTCGAATCGATCGTTTGCGACTCTAATTTCTCGAAAACGATTCGGGAGCATTCCGCGTACGCGATTGGGGCTATGGTCCGTTTCAACAAGGACGTATTCGTCGGTCAAGTATTAATGGGACCGACAATTCACGCGCTAGTTCAAATGGCTTCCTCTCACTCATTAAAAGTCCTCTGTTCCTTAATCCGGCTGATTAGGTCTCCGCTTGTGGAGGAAATCGAGTCAAACGGCGACATACCAAAAATAATAAGCTTATTGAATTGCCATGACCTGCAAATTAGGGTTTTAGCCATGGATTGCATTATTGAAATAGGCTATTACGGCCGCAAAGAGACTGTAGATACTATGCTGGAAAAGGACTTGATCGACAGGCTTGTGAAGTTGCAGAGGTCAGAATTGGGCGGCGACTTGATCGGATTGGGGAAACACACGGCGGAGGAGAGTAGAGAGGTAGCTGCCGGCGAGGTGGAGGGAAGAAGAGAAAGTAGAGAGAAGAGGTTCTTGGAGAGCCATCCATTTGCAAGCTGTGTGGCAAAATTTGCAGTGCAATTGGAGGTTGGAGAGGGGTTGAGGAAGAGTGAGAAGAGGGCCATTAAGCCTGAAATTTTGAGGAGAGTTCGAAAAGCTTGTGTTTCTGATGCTGAAGCGGCCACCATAATCGCCGAGGTTTTATGGGGTTCTAGTCCTTGATCTGAAACTGCGACAAGATTGCGTTCTGTTCTTGAATGGTGGATTGAAGAATCAGATGGAGAAATTGAAAACTTGTTTCGGGGATGAACATTCATCAATTCCTCGTCTCTGTCTATATTTGGATGTAAGAGTTACACGTTAGAATCAAATAAATTAAAGTCGTGTAATTAAAATAGTAACCAGTTGATTGAGCATACATTAGTTAAAGAAATTGTGTTAAAGAGCTAAACAACTTTTTGTTTCATTCTTTTGATATGATGGAAATAAACAATAACCATTTTTATTTATTGGGAAAACTTTACTTCAAATTTTTTATTATTTGGATAGGGAAAGAGAATAAGCCGTAGGATTACAAGTTTAAGTTATATGATTTTTGTAAAAAAAAAAAAAAAAAAAAAAAAAAAAAAAAAAAAAGTAAAACAATGNAACAAACGACCACAGTGGGAGTCGAACCCACGACCTTTTGATCCGAAGTCAAACGCGCTAATCCACTGCGCTATGCGGTCATTTGAAGTTTTGGAGTAACAATTAATTTAAAATTTAAAGAAAATAAAAAGTGACACTTAAATTGGATATTTTCTATAAAATTAGAACAAACGACCACAGTGGGAGTCGAACCCACGACCTTTTGATCCGAAGTCAAACGCGCTAATCCACTGCGCTATGCGGTCATTTGAAAATTTGGAGTAACAATTAATTTTAAAATTTAAAGAAAATAAAAAGTGACACTTAAATTGCATATTTTCTATAAAATTACTACAAACGACCACAGTGGGAGTCGAACCCACGACCTTTTGATCCGAAGTCAAACGCGCTAATCCACTGCGCTATGCGGTCATTTGGAGTTGTGGAGTAACAATGTATTATAAAAGTTTAAAATACATAGACACTCAAATTGGATAATTTCTATATATGCGATCATTGGTGTTAAATTGCCATTCGATAATTTATATAATATTTTTTTAGTATCCATTTAACATATTCAAATTACTCGATTATTCTTAATGTCTAAAATTCCAAATCTAAATAAAACCAACTTTCTTTGTTTCTCCTTTATTTTCCAAAACAAACAAAGCCACATTACTTCGGAAAGTTGTTAACTAGTGAAGATGTCTGATTATAATCCAAGAAGAAACGATGTCTCAACTAAAATCCTCTACTGCTACAATAATCCGAAAGGGCTTATGGCGTTTATCGATCTAGTTCTATCCAAGAAGCAATCTATGCAAAACAAGTCGTCATTTTTCGACTCATTATCACTATGTCTATTTCCTATGTTGGTGCTATGCGATAACGTATGTACAACTCAACTCATTCCTGCCCGATTGAATCGTCGACTTTTGCAGGCGGTTCCATACACAATGGACAACGGGGGTCGCTTCTATCTTCGACGTTTGACCCGTTCTCCAGACAGTCTGCATGATAGACATGGCCACATACCAAAACCGCAGCAACGGGAAGTTCACTGGAAGACAACGTGTTGCCGAGGAAGCAAAGCTTTCGTCTCATCAGCTTTTGACAAATCCCACATACTATTTTCCTTCCATGAGATGAAATTGTATCCTTCCCTGAGGAATTGTACCTTATCCTTTCTGGCCTCAAGAAGGTGCGCTCATTGCTCTCTGAAATCAATGTAAAAGGAGAACAACATCGTCAATGTAGAAGAAGCGAAGGCGACTGATATTCATTATACCGATGTCACAAAGAACATGATATCTAATTCAAAGCAAGATGACTTGTCAGCCAACCAGAAGAACTGTTTATGTTTTCAGGTCTTTTCGTCTAATTAGAGAGTGCCACGTAATACACGAAGAACGGATTTTCAAATATCTTATAACATTTATGCCATTGTGAAAAGTACTCTCATTCCCAAAACTCAAAAAGGGTACCTATATGATCTGGAAACTCTGAGTTGCAGTGAGCTGCAAATTTAAAAGTGGGACGTTTTTCGAGTATGGTTCGAACTCGATTTTCGCGGGAGGTGGATGCATTTTCTTGACTGGTTGAACCTCGTCGACAATATTGATGGCTATACTGATGACGTGAACGTTTCATGAATATTGGACGGGCGAGACTCCGATCCTGCTGGTTTAATGCAACATAAGTTTAATAGATTGTGGTTCAGTAAAAGGAAAAAACTTAGCTTAAATGCTTTCCCTAGAAATGGAAAGGATTGAAGTATTCTTTTGCCTGTTCACTGAAGAAAACAAAAGAGTACAAACCTCTTCTGACCGCACATCCATTTGATTGGAAAATGGCACTATACCTGCAACATACGTACCAAACATGTTTCATTTCATCATTTAAAACATAGGAAAATCGGAATTCCATACCGTGTAAGATTAATTGTGATCCCACCTCGGTAGGAGAGAGGAACAAAGCGCTCTTTATAAAGGCGTAGAAACCTCTCCCTATCAGACGCATTTTAAAAACCTTGAGGAGAAGCCCAATGAGAACAATATCGGCTAGTAGGGGGCTTGGCCGTTACAAATGGTATCAGAGCCAGACATTGGGCGATGTGCCATCAAGGAGGCTAAGCCTCCAAGAGGGTGGACACGAGGCGTATGCCAGCAAGGACACTGGGCGCCGAAAGGAGGTGGATTGTGAGATCCCACATCGGTTAGAGAGGGGAACAAAGCGAAGAGAGTGTGGAAACATCTCCAGATGCGTTTTAAAAACCTTGAAGGGAAACCCCAATGAGGACAATATCTGCTAGCAGTGGGCTTGGGCCGTTACAAATGGTAATAGAGCCAGACATTGGGCAATGTGTCAGTGAGGAGGCCGAGTCCCGAATGGGGTGGACATGAGACGATGTGCCAAACATCTCCAGATGCGTTTTAAAAACCTTGAAGGGAAACCCCAATGAGGACAATATTTGGCCGTTACAAATGGTAACAGAGCCAGACATTGGGCAATGTGTCAATGAGGAGGCTGAGTCCCAAATGGGGGTGGACATAGACGATGTGCCAACAAGGACGTTGGTCACAAGGGAGGTGGATTGTGAGATCACACATTGGTTGAAGAGGGGAACAAAGTGCTCTTTATAAAGGAATTAAAACTTCTCCCTAATGAATTTTAAAAACTTTGAGAGAAAGCTCAATGAGAACCATGTCGACTAAAAGTGTGCTTTGACATTAACTCAGTCATCAGTTCTAAAGCATAAAATCGACACAACTTCACCTTGATATCTAAGAATAACACATCTCAATCTTCATTTAATCAAAAGAAAGAAACCCAAATGCATGCAACCAAAGCTAATTTCATAAGGTAATTGAAGTAGCTAATTGACTGAGATGAGTCCACAAACCACATCTCTGAATCATAATGCGTCCTTAAAGGCTCATACCAACCCCAGTATCTTCTAAAAGCAATCCCCAACTCTCTAAATTTCATTCTTGAACAGAATTCTCATAGACCCCAAATGAACTTCCAAAAATGGCAATTACATACAAAACCCATATCATCCGATGGCAGCCCGTTAATTTCAAGCTAAAACAAAGACGATTCATGGTCTCTACCCACACCCCACTGAACTAATACTCTGTATCGACGCAAAGGAATCATCCCTTTCAGGCATTTCTACAAACAGAAGCAGGGCACGATAGTGATCAGAGAAAGAAAGCACATACCGGAGAGATGATGAGGACGATCGTGGTGGGTCTGATCAGAGCCTGGCTTGCGCTTCCCCATAGTATTAAGATTGTTCATAAAGCGAGGAGAGTGCGGATTGATATCATTTGGAGGTTAAATTTAGGCGATGATCTGTGGTGGGGAGCATCTAAAAATTGAATTGAATTGAAATTGAATGAATGAATGAATGGTTTTGGGCCTTTTTGGAGCCGAAACACAAACCCAGTGGATGTGCTATTTCAGTTGCTGTGGATTTACGATTCGAGGAGGAAATAAAAGAACAATTGTTTGGTGTATTTTTATTCGATTTTTAGCCCTTTTCCATTCTTATCATTCCCTTGACGGGGCTTCGTGGGGACCTGCCCCTATCGGAGATAACCTGTGTTTACTCTTATTATTTACTATTCTCTTTATTAGTATGTTTTTATAAGCTGTGTTAATAGGAAACATTTCAAATAATTCGAATTATCCAACTCAAACCAAACCGAATGGTCTTTTTACTTGAATTGTGTTGAATTTTTGAAATATTGAAAATTCAGTTCGAGTAATGAGTTGACATTTTTTTGGTTTGATAACCCGACTAACCTAAAAATGTAGCACAACCCCAGCTAAGACTATTATATTTTTAATATTATTAAGAAAATTATCCAACAATTCTAACTATGGTGGGCTGGGCCTATGGTGGGCTGGGCCTACTGCATTAAGCCCAACATTACTAATTAGAATTACATAAAAATATTTATTGGGTTAGATTATTATAAAAATTATTTTTTTTTTCTCCATTAAAATTTAAAATATGTAGTGTTATCAATTTGGATTGACATGCTATATTATTGTAATCATAAACTTGGAGCTGTTTGGGAATTTATTTTTTGAAAATATTTATTTAAAAATTCAAAATTTTAAATTTAATTCCAAAACTTTATACCGACTTTTACAATATAATATTATCTACTATGGTATGGTTTCAATTTAAAATGAAAATGTAATATTATTAAAAGAAAAAAAACATTTATTACTTATTAAAATAATAAATTAAATGGTTTTTAAAAAAACAATTTGATACAAGTGTGCGTTGGTTCTGGTCTATCCTGCAAACGCAGGGATAGGATCCTTATCTTTTGGGCAGCATAACAGATGAATAGTCTAAAATGCCCTTACGCCAACCGACAAAAACCCCTGAATTTACAACCTTCTCCCTCCTACCTAACTCATTTGCTTCTTCTTCAGTTAAAGCCTAATACCTTTTTTTGGGAATTCACTGGCCCCACATTCTCCCCGACCCAAATTCAGTACCGCCTTCGGAATTTCATATATTTTTACATTTTTTTAAAAATAATCTGACGTATATTTCAATTTTTTTAGGTTTTTTTTTTTTATTTTCTGTTATCAAAATCCTTCAAATATAGTCGTAATTAATTTATGGAGTCCTATTTTACTCGGGTGTCACATCTTTTACTCGGGTGAACAATTAGATGTCAGACTATTAAAAAAAAGTTTTTAAATTACAGTAATAAAATAATAATAATAATTATTATTATTATTAAAAAAAGGAGAGGGATGGTTTTCCAACGACCGTGGAGACGAGGTTGAGAGTGGTGATTCCGACAAGACAAGGACAAACGACAGCGTTTTGAAACAAACCATTTTTAATGATGTAAATAATAAGCCTTGTCTCCGCCGTTCCTTTACATTTTCTCCATTTATTATAAATAATAATAATAATAATTGCGGTGTAATGACGTGGCGATTGTTATTCGGATAACTCCTGTCAGGATAGAACCAACTCCGAGATGGAGAGAGCGTAAACCAAACGCATCTCTATCCGAATCAGCTTTTCTTTATTTTTATTATTATTTTTTTTTATTTTCTTAAAACTTCAGTATAATCCTCCAGTAATTCGTTCAAAATAATAATAAGTATTATATTATAAGCTTCTGACTTAAAATATACTTACCATTATTTATCGTTCAATTTTTTTAATTAAAATTAATCCTTTAATCTTTGAAATATTAATAAACATTAAATCCTTTTAATTATGTTTTATTTAACAAAATTATAGATATTTTTACTTTATTTCCACGTGGAAATGTATTCAATAATTTTTTTTAGTTAATTAATTAATTTATTTTTTTGTAATAGGAGAAAAGTATGTGATTCTTTTCAACTATGATTAATTACCATTTAGATTTTTTAAAAAATATTTAAGTCTGAGATTTGATAGATATTATTAAATTAAAAGAACGGTTCTTACCTGTTCAATTTTTTTTTCTATGATATTCTAATAGTTCGAGACCACCATTAATAGAAATTGTTCGTTTTGGTTCATTATGTATCATTGTCAACTTCATGATTCTAAAACGTGTATAATGTGGAGAGGTTTCCACACTCTTATAAGCAATGCTTCATTTTACTCTCTAGTCAATGTGGAATTTCACCATCGAGACCTAGTGTTTTCACTGACACACTGCATGATGCCTAAATCTAATACTATTTCTAACAATCCAAACCCACCAATAACTGATATTATCTGCTTTGTCCTGTTATATACTGTCATCAGTCTCTCGATAGGCTAGGGCTATTTTAGATATCATAAAATAATCTTAAAAAGTAAACATCTTTGCATCATTTGTTTCCCGTTCTCTTCCTAATTGAATTCTCATCCATTCCCACCCTCTCTAAAGAGGGTGGTTCAACTATCTTTGGGAAAGACAATAAAAATAACCCTTTGAAGTTGATAGTTGAGAAAATTGAGGAACGTTGGCTTAGAGTGTATCAAACAAAAAACAATAGACACAAATTATAATTTTAATAGATTGGTATAAATGATTGAACGAGATTTAGTTCCAAGAAGTAGAAATATAACTCGTCCCCAACCGTTTAAAAAGATCTAATTTTTCTTTACTTAGATCTCCAATTAGAGTAAAATTATTGAATTAGAGGAGACATAAAAGATTAAATAAAAGTTAAATAAAATTAAGTTAGCCCACCCATGAGCTAATAATGGAACAACAGCTACGATAAAGACAATTAACTAATAATAAGATTAAGACAAGCTTGGCCTTAAATTAGGGAAGAAGATTAAGGGTTAAAGTTTTAATTAAATACTATTAACATTTAATTACGTATTTTATTATTCTCTACTTTGTCGTTTTCCTTCTACTTTTTTTTCTTTAATTATTATTAAAGAATATTTGTTGAAACTAAATGAAAAAGTGGGTTTATTAAAGAATATTTAGCTGCTTTTCCATGCCACTGAATTGATATCAAAATCTCATTTTATAAATATTTATTAAAAAAAAAATTCAAGCATTAATTGAGTTATTAATTTCATTTATAAAGTTTGAATTATTTAGATTTATTTAATTTATTTAATAAAATCTAAATAAATTTATTTATGAAAATCTAGATTTTAAATTGATTAAATTATTAATTATTTTCAGAAAGAGGAAAAAAAATTGGAGGGAAAGTTGGGGAAAAGGATGGAGTTCCAAAATTGAGGGCAAAGTGGGAATAAAGAAAATTGGTATAAAAAAAAAAAAAAAAGCCTACCTTTTCTAATTATTTAATTATTTTTTATCAAAATATTGCAACTATTTCACAACAAACAAGACAATCATAGGATTCTCTTGTCTTTCCCATCTTTATTTTCCTCAATTCATTACCTTTTTTTAATTATTAAAATGGGTATTTAAAAACTTTTTTATTAATGAAGCCAAAGCCTAATAAAAAATATTAAAATTATTATCTTGGTTATTGTAATTTAGGTTTAATTTCATTTTAAAAATATTTATAATAATTAAATTTGAGATTTATTGGAGTGAATTATGTAATAATATTTTTAACAAAAAGAATTGTCCTCGGCACCAACTCAAACAAAACTCACACGTGTTTGAAATTAAATCACACACAAAAATCCACAGACCCACTTGCCTTCCACGTGCGCTTCGATTCAGAAGCCAGATGTATTTCTTATTTATTTAATTAAATAAATTCCGTTCCAAATCTCTGAGATATTTCCCCATTAATTATATAAACTGAGAAATAATATATATATATATATATATTGTGAAAGGTTGAGCTGTTATATTAATGGTTGGTCTGGTCGGGGTGGGTGGGGCCCAGTTTGATGTCGGTGGCACAGAGCGGAGGGCTACGGTGGCTCCTCCTCCCAGATCTCAACCACGGCCAACATCCTCGATCTACAGCTGGCAACGTGGGTCCACCCATTTAAACAATATTATTCCCATAGATTTAAATAATTACCATTTTTATTTTTTATTTATTTTAATTAATATAGTTGTTTTTATATTTAGGACAGAAGATTAAGCTTTAGAACCATCAATATCGGTGTTATTTAATATTATTGTGATTTATTTTATTTTAGTCTTAAAATTTTAAAATGTCTTATATAATTCACACTAATAAAAAAATTATTTTTAATTATAATTATCTTAATTTTGGTGTCCAAACCTTTAAACTATCTAACTATTCAAATGTTAGATTTCACGTTATTATATATTAAATAATAAAAAGATTATATTAAATATAAAATAACAAAAAATACAATTTCATGAGGAATGCTTTATTTTAAACCATACTTTTTTATATTAAATACTTTCGACTTATTCTAAATCCAATTAGTCTCTAATTTTTACGAGGGTTAAATTATAAATTTTACTATATACTTTATCAATTTATTTGATATAAAATTAATTTTTTATAAGGGTATTAATGTAAAAAAAGGGGTAATAATTAAATATTTGAAGTAGAAGAAAGCAGTAAAAATAAGGAGCATAAGGACCAAAATAGAAAGAGAGAAGATAAAATAGAGAAGAAAGGGAGTTGAAAAGGGAGATTAGCTTAATCGGGTTAAGAGTTAGTTTGGAGGGATTCCGGAATAGGAAGTAATGTCACCCAAACAAGCCAGAGCTGTAATTAGCCACATTTCTTTGTTCACGCGCGGAACACGCACATTCTATCCCCTTTTCTCTCTCACCGGTTTTTTTCACATACTATAAATACCAGCTCCCCTTTCTCCCAACACATCTCAGCCTCAAATCTTCGTTCATTCACCCACCGTGCGACCACCCCACCAAAACCCTCGTTTCTTCGTCCTTCTCCTTCGTTTCGTGGGGTTCGTGTCTGTGTGTGTTTCGCCATGGGCGTCGTCACCATTCTTCCAGATCTCGGCACTCAGATTTTCATCCCGGTCTGTGCTGTAGTAGGAATAGTCTTCTCTTTGGTGCAGTG